AGTTTTTCTTCATTACCCATTTAAGCCGTCTCCAGCCATTATTAGTCTCAAAGTGGGTTCCTCGTCATCGAAATATCAAGTATTTGTTTTGAATAGTCCATGTGCAAAGTGATTTTCATGTTAAGATTAAAAATACTTTTCTTCATCTCAAAAATTTCAAATTTCATTTGTGTAATCTCTGAAACCTCTTAAATATATTTCAAATGTTTGTTTTTGGTAAAACTTTATATTTTATCTGTTATTTTCTCTACCCTAACTCTATACAATGTTGGTGTTTTTGACTGATCTAGTAACCACCAAAAACAATAAAAATTAAATAAATCTAAATTATCCCCTTTTCTTTCTCGAATGACTTTAAATGTCACATGAAACTACATTCATTTATCCTAAGTAGCTTTAAACTCGTAACAGTATACATCTAGTTATACTTAAGTTTTATTTTTTGATTGCCCTTTGAACTGTATCCAACTACAATTCATGCCATTATATGTTGTAACTCACTTGGGGAACATGGAGCTCATGTTATGCTATCCAATTACATTACCCACGAGCTGTTCGCATGCGTGTACCTCATGAAACATTTTTATATTAGTATTATTATTTGTTTCACCTGAACTAACCTAAAAAGATCCCTGTTTGGGCATTTTAGTTACTTTTAACAAGAAATATAGTACTTACCCTGGTCTTCTTCTTGTTTCTTCTTCTTTTTTTTTTAGGTGTCAACTGTTGATAACACTTAACCCTATTTATTTTATACTAGTGATAGTAATGCACTAAATATTTTTTATTTAATTAAATAATGCACCAAATAACAGAAAAATACTATATAAAAAGCATACAATTTCCCCTAATTATTTCAATTTTTCTGGTTTTCTAACTGTTTGATAAGAGCCCTTACAAATTCATCCAAGCTAGCTGTTATCTTTCCCGTGGGAACGAAGCTTGTACTAACAGAGAAATTGACAATTCTCTGTTCAGAAACAATGCAAAATAATAAATCATTTGACAGATGAAAACCTTGGCTTTCTATTGGTTATAGATAATATAGAATTAAATGAGATTGAACTATTAACAAATCCTGAAAGAGAGGATGTGACAGGTGGGTGTGGGTGATTTTGTTTGTATTTTATGTCTCTGTAACCAAACAGAATTGAAGGCCATTTTAAGGTTTGTCTGAGCAATGACATTTTTATAATGAGCAGTTTACATTATATTTCAAATTTATTGAAAGTATGGTGAATAAAATAGAGAATGAGGGGATGCCTAGAGAAAATATGTCACATTTCTCACACTAGGGAAAATTTAGGATTTCTTTAAATATTGCCTTATAAAATTTAAAACTTGTATAGTATTGAAATATGGATTATTAGCTACAATTTTATGCTATACTAATTGATATTACATAAATAGAAAGTAGCCTAATAAAATTTTGGATGTAAGTCACTAAAATGTCATGACATCTGCAGTAAATGATGCCCAGGCAGAGGGGGTTAATTAAAATTTGAGTGTAATTCTGTAAAAGGTCATGACATGTACATTTTAACCTACCTGTAGTGAAAGGATTAAAGTTATTGATTTATAAATCAACAATTTAGTACTCAAGTGTAGGATACTACTATAAAATATACCACATTTTAGTAAATACTCTTTTTTTTTGTAATCAATGAATGTTCAAACATTCACTGCTTGTGTTATTATGTACATTTTAGTCTATTTATTACTTCATTCTAGTTCATTTTACACTGATTAATAAACTCTTTATTCTAGTTTATTATAATAAAAATGAAAGTGTTTTAATCTGAGGATCTTTTCAACCTGCTTATAAATGGAAATCACCTTTTTCATGTTAATGTTTTGTAAATGCATGCATATGTTTAACTCCTTCAATTTTGTATTGTGGTATAAGAAATATTTTGAATGAATTTTATTTTCTGTTGTTTAAAGTTTGTTAAGGACATGCCATTTTCACTCATTATTTCTTAGTTGTTTTTAATTCTGTTCTTCTGTAAGCTAATTTTGTTCAAGCAACCTATTTTCCACTGAAATGATTTTTCTAAGTATAAATCTTCCCAGAGAGCCTAGGGTATTAGCCAGGAATTGGAAACTACCCATCTAAAAAGAGTTGAAGTGCCAAAAGTGTGAACTTTCTTGGGGAGATTGGGGGCTCCATAGAGCTTGCTACCTATAAGAATTTTAAATTCTGACAAGGTACCTTACTTTTGCTCACATACATAGCAATTTATGTTCAGTTCTTCCCTCTGTTTGCAAAAATTTGTTCACATGCTACAAGCCTTTCACTCCCATGCACTCCTCAATTCACATGGTTTAACTGATTTTTGCATACAAATTATCATGCAACTAACCTCTACCAATAGTAGTGCCACATACCCACAT